AATATAATTTATTTTTGAAAAAAAAACTACAGTATAACTTTCTGTATGTCTTACCATAAAAATAATTTTACAATACATGTATAATCACTATTCCAATAGTTATCTAGAGTTATTCTATTGTGTATTGTTCGATCATAGTCGTTGCTCAATTTTTCCTATCAAAAAAAGGCATATTCATGTGTTTTTAACTTTAAGTTATGTAAAAAAAACATAGTATTTGTTTTGTAGGAAATAGATAATTATATAATTGTTACAATGATTATAATGATATAATTTTTTCAACAGTGTTTCATGATGATTCTTGTCATTAACCCTCTTAGGGAATAGTACTAATTCATCTAATATCAATGGACACGATAGATCACATACTACAAAGAAACATTTATTGAGCCTATAATGTTATGTTTTATCTCAAATATATTGTGTTGGCTCACAAACGTCATGTCAAATACAAATAAAGAAAAGGTCTACTAGATGGTTGGTCTTCTAGACTTTGCACAACCTGTGCAGTGCGGTTCATGGTGATCCACTAAGTTAGAAGTGCATAAAATGTTTCGTTCTACAACTACTTGTTAAATTTTGAGCACAAGTCCTCCTTATACGTCGTATGCAAGGACTTAAATACTTGTTAATTTCGCATGCATAAACAGATTTTAGTGGCATGGCAAGTGTGCATGAGAAGAAAAGAGTCGAGTACGCACCTTTGCATCCATGACGAAGGTAAGGGTTTCCTTGATAACCTTGTGAGCATTTGCAATAGTATCCCGAAACATCCTGGATATTGTTAGTAGTTGTTGTATCGAAACATGAGCTGTGAGCATCGACACATGCGAAGGTGGTCATGTTCTTTCGAGCATCCTCGCAAAACTGGGAAGCAATTACCCAACTGACGATGGTCTGCTCTTCAAAACAAGCGAACAGTCTGGTTCTCTCGCTCTCGAAGGTATAATCGTATTCGTTAACCCGTTCCAATTCCAATTTGCCTTCCTCCAGCAATATAGTACTCACTTTGTAATGGGAATTGAATAGGAGAACGGGAGGACCGGACGTCTCGTTGCATGTCAGAGCAAATGACTTGCCTCTGTAACAGCCCTGTTTCAGCCCGAATGGAAACAAAATGTTGACACTCCCACATTTTGTTGCACAGTCATTTGCAGGAGAACGTGTAAAAGATGTAGCTGTTGATATGATCAAAGTGGTCAGCAGCAGCAGAATTCGGCATAAGATTAGTGTGCCTTTTTCCAGAGTCCAAAAATAAAAATCAATTGTATTTGAGACTTATAAATATATTAGGTCATTGCCTAAAGAATCTATGGTTACCTAATTCAAATGTTTATCAAGTACATTTGGCCAAAGCCAAACACTAATTTTCCATCACAAATACAAAAGGAATGCGAAACTACATTGGACATTAATGCAATATTGCTTTAAAGACAGGTGCCGTTGTTGCCAGGAGACCATATCTAATGCTTGTACCACGTATAAAAGAGCATGCCTCATGATTTGAATTCGATGTTTAATCTTTATGGATCCAAGTGATAATTTTCTATAAATAATACCAGTGTTCCACCTTGACTTCCGAAGGTCCCTTTGTCGACCTTTAAGGATCTAATAAAAGGTTTTTCTTTTGGGAAAAAAAAAAATAACAGTATTACGCTAGATGGATTCTTAGGCACCTTCGTTACTGCTTGAGTTTCTATAAATCATCAGGAACTAAACATAACAGAGAAGTATATTCGAACTCATTTAAAGCGAGATGAAGAAGAAAAATTACCTTGACAGCCACTAGGTACATAGGGATTGCCTTGATAACCTGTGGAACACCGACACAAATATCCAACACTATTATTAATGTAGCTCGAATCAAGAAAGACACCCTGGCAAAGACTATTTTGACTGACGCAAGCGTACGTATCCGTATTCTTGGCCTCTTCGCATGAGAGGTGATCATTCATGTACCACGCCAAGGTGGCCTCCGCATTCGTTCTCCTTCCCTTTAATACTCCTTGGAGAACATCATCATCACCATCGAACATGATGACCTTGATGCCGGAGGTATTCACCAAGTGTAACTCTTTTTGATTGAGTCTAGTTAGCTGAATCTCCAAGGCAGTTGTATTCTTAAAATTTAAATCCAATGTGCAACATCCGCTGTTAACGTCGGACCACTCTGAATATTGACTCGGATCACCGGCAGCGCAGATACTAAAGCAAGTGCTAATGGTTTTATTGGTGGTACGATCCACTAGACTGGCCGTAGCGCTACAACCTACAACGTAAACTCTGTTAGATGTCGTTCCTTGATAAGAATCACGTGTCATATGTTCCATTAACTCAAAAGAGTAAGGCCAGTTCTCCAGATCAATCAGTGAGGCGCGTTTAAACTCAGCGTCGATACCCATGACGATGGTTGGTGGTTTGATATATACCAACCCCTGGTTCGTATCAATTCTCGTTACCTCGATGGTGCCATCACCCAGGAAAAGCCTGGGAGAGCTGGTGGAATGGTTTCTGCAGGTAAGATTAAAGCCCGTCCGGAAACAGCCATCGTCGATGCCGAAAGGATAACCGAAGCTGATACTCCCACAACTTTTTCGACAAGAAAAAGGGAGGCGGAAAGTTGTGTTTGTTGATCTACTTTCTGTTCTTATTGAACCCATTGATGTGGATGCCAGAAGAAAGAGTAAAATCTCGACCAACCCCATCCCCCCTCTTCCCTCTCCTAATCCGACCATTTTCCTCTTCCACCTGCCACATACCGAGTTGCATTAGTTGGCAATGCGGACACAAGCAAAGCGTTTTTGTGTCTCACATATAGAAAACTACTACTGATGACCTTAAGTCCATCCGGTCAAAGTTAACATATATTAGGTCAGATACTAATTCAATCTAAAAAAAATTAAAATATTAAATTATGAGCCAAACTTAATTATAGGTAACTTGATGTTTTCAATCATTCACGATATGAGACTATCAATCCATCTTTTCATCTCACATATATAAATATTTTCAACAAAAACTTATGCAACTTTTTTTCTAAGGGAGTTGATGGGCAAATTTTAGATTATGTCAGAATGAGCATTTTCATGAGATACGATTAGAGATGACCAAACAACATAAAAAAATCATTCATATAGTTTAAGTCGAATTATTCGGATCTTTGTATAATTCTTCGTATAAATAGAAAGAGCAAGACGCTTACACTGGTGTTATAGAGGGAAGCAGCTCCCGAGGCTCGAGCAGCATAGAGATAAGAAGAATACAATCAGTGATGTCTCCTCCTAGAGGGACGAACTTGCCAAATTATAGAGAGAAATAGGTCGCAGATATAAGCAACCTCTTCCGGTGGAAAGCGGGAGCTATCCTTTTCAACGGTCAATCACGTTGACGAAGACTTAGGACTTTTAGTGTGGAGTGGTAATTAACTCTTTGAACTCGTCAGAGTTGATCCATCGGGCACGCTCGGCTCGATGATGATGCTCTACTTTTCTATATTCTGTCAAATCGGTGTTAATACACTAAGATATAATATCATAGACATTGGCGCTAACCCTTTGACAAACTTTTATCTCGGATTATCATATAATGCATGCAACCATCATTTTAATGCGTCAATCGCTTTGACATAATTAGTTTCATGAGAATCTGCATCACAACTAAGATCAAGGTTCATAGTTTAGCTCTGCAGTGCAAATAATACTTCATTAACTAATGCGCTATCTGTCAGAAAACGAGATCAGGAAGAGCTACAGATCGGTTGACAAGACTTGGAAAATTTAGCAGTCTTCAGAGATGTTCCATCGGGCATTAAAAAAGATGCTACTCATTTTTCAATACCGTTGAACCGGATGTGTCGACTCCTGAAGAAATATTTATTGCACTGGATTATTATTGAGATATGGATTAGGAAAGGGAATTATATTGCAGTCAACGAAATACACCCGACATTGTTCGCTATCGGAGCAAACCAAAACTTGTCTTTAGGGATGGAAAAAGTTAGTATACTCCTCCTCCTAGAGTATACTAACTTTGATCATGAAGATCAAAGGATGAATGCAAATTTTTTCATGTATTTATGGATGGAAACAGTGTTATTACTTGGTTGGCGACTTGGAAGATTAACGGACAAGAGAAAGAAAGTTAGAAGAAAGACAGGTAGGCAGTGAACCAAAGTCTTCCTTCTTCTCGTTTCACACAAGAAGAAAGACTAGTCATATTCATTTTCTCGAAACTTTTATTGTCAAACTTCAATTAATTTCCAATGGCAAAAATATTCATTACTGATGGGCAGTTCAATTGTTGAAGACGAGTTCAAAAGATGGTAAACCTAATAATAAGCAGAAAGATAGTTGATCAAATATATGCGATAGTAACCTGAGGTTCATATATAGATAAATACCAAGTAATAAGATAGGGTCAGATCTTATCCTCTTAATCAATATAAAATCATGATTAAACATACGAATCCGTGGCATTCTACTGATCTTCATCTTCCGCAAACTATAATTGCATGGTTTTGAAAACCTTCGTTTTCTTGAAAATATAATAGTGAATTATTGTTTATTTCCTTCGAAAAGTCTTTCTGTATTTGATTTTCCTTTTTCCACAAGAGTCTACGATATAAGTTTCTGAGTCGTCTGATCCATCAATTCGCTCGTCCTATCTCCCGTGGGAACGAATTAGTTAGTCTATAAGAAAACACGTATAGTGTATCATTTTTTGCATATTGTGTTGGTTGATAGAGACGCTGGTTGACCGGCTCGACGACTCCCACAATTCTCACACTTTATGACTTCCACGGACAATTCGTCGAACATATGCGGTTTAGAAACTCGACAAGAATCCAACTCTCTGCCACTCCAAGAGTTTCTGCGTCAAACGTTGACTCTCTCGGCTCAGCTGTGATGTAACGTGACCCCACCTCATGTTCGATGGCTGAGGGGGTAGGTGGACCAGCACAAACTCGTCCTGTGGTAAAACATATGCTTTGATCAACTTCTCTGCCTTTTGATCATTCTCAACTTATGCAACTTAAACTCAACTCCTTTCATCGTGGGATTATAATTTCCTTTTACTTGTAAACATGTTTCTTTAAGTCTAACAACATCATCAAACCCTTCTTTTGTTCTTTTTTTCATCATTCTGGTCATGATTCTGGCCATGATTCTAAAATGATTAATATATATATATATATATATATATTAATTTTTACATGATTTTACTGTAATAAATTATTAAAATTAAAGATTTTTTTTAATAGGTTCAATTTCAAATGTAACATTCATATATGATTATTTTTTTCCCAAACGAACTCAAAATTCTACATAATCATAGGATATGATTCTAAAATATTTAGTAACATTTTCTTATTTATAATTTTTTTGAAAAATAATTATTAAAATTAAAAAATTTGAATAGCATATGCGATCAAATCATTTTAGTAACAGTTTGAGGATAATTTCATTCAAATGAAAAAAAAAAGATGCCCCCAAGTAAAAATGAATATGGGGTTTAAAACCAATAATGAAAGTTTTTTCCAGTAAAATGTCCTAAAATATTTAGATATATGAATATTGCTACTAAAAATTATTAGTAAAATTTGGTGTATATGCAAACCTTATATAATGTATACAAGTGCAACAACTAGCTGATGCCGAGGGAATTTTACAGAAAAATAATAAATCAATATTTATTATTTGAAATTAATAAAATCATATAAATAGGCTTAATTATTTATGATAATCATTTTTCTGAATATTTTTTATTTTTATAAAAGCCTTAATTTATATCCACATTTAATAAGGATCCGAAAGAAAAACACAGGCCTCGGTGATTTCAGGCTGGGAAAACTGAAAGTTCTAACCCAAGTGGAAGGTGACATTAGCTATAGTCGTCTCTGCCCAAAAAAACTCTTGAGACTTCTTTGAGAAGACATGGAGTTGATTTGATGATAGTGCTTCGTGATGCAGTGTGTTGATGATTCCTGCCACAGGTTTTCAAACATATCTTCATCCTCCAATAAGGGTTGATAGAGATCGTACGCCGTGGAAACAACTCCTACTCGGAAATTTTCGACCTACAATTTCCAACTATATACGTCGGACATTTCTAGTGGCCATGATAATTTACAAAGACATAAATCATGAAAGCAACGCCATATATACCCACTTTGAAATATCAAACACATTGATCGAGTGATTTTGAGCTATCTGAGTATGGGTCAAGTAAACGATGATAATTTGAAGTAATTTTTTTATTTTTTTAATTTTTGATGAAGAAAATGATAACGATATAAAATGATACCGTGGGCACTGATAAATTTAGAAGTCCAAATCGTACAATAAGTTTTTAGTGCATGTCATGTAATATTTGTTGATACAAAAAATAATATATTATGTTACGCAACGTATGCTATATTCATTATATGTTTGGACATACTATATCGCCATTAATAATTATTAGTAGAAGGAAAAAATAATCAAATAAAATCATATAATAGGATTTTTTAGATTATTTGTTTTTCGAAAGAATTAAATTATAGTTGATAATTTCTTCTTATTTTATTAGATATTACTTTCTAAGAGATGATACATCATTATCATCATTATGTCTAAGCCATCAATTCGCTCATCCTATCTCCATTGTGAAAACTAATTAGTTAGTGTGCTAAAAATAAAAACCTTTGAGGGTAAGGTAGATTTGGCCGACTTATTAGCATTCCCATACTCCTCAATTAATGTGGGACTAAATGGTCTTATCAATTTCTAAGTAAAATAATTATAAATATAGTACATTATTTATCTTTTACGAACAAAAAATTGCTTTTATCTAAGTTAGTCAAAGAAAGTAAAAGTCGGAGAGGAGTTTTCATAAGAATGGAAAAGTTATTTTTATTTGAGAAAATTCTTTAAAAAAACTCATATTTTTTTAAAAATTCTAAGCTACCACTCTTTTCCTAAAAAATTATCGTAGAATATATATATATTTTTAAATAATAATATTGTCCTTCTTGATTATTATCTTCGCTCAACACCGTCGCATATCAACCTCGCCTCCCCTTTCCTATCGTTGTTATCTTTGTCATCCTCACCCTTCCATTGTGACGATAGGTGGAGGAGCATCCTGTACTCCTTTGTCATCATCGTCCTTTCTTTATCATAAGAATGATATCTTTAATTTGAAAGGACGATGATATCTTCAATTATAATTAAGATATTTCAAGAAGTCCATAAGAATAGGACAGTTAGTCCATAAGAAAACGTGTAGAGTCCATATGTGATATATCTTGTTTTTAACTTAATATATCAAGAACCATGGACTTAGAAAGTGAATTAGAATGAGACGAATTGGCAAGTCAATGATGCGAGTGCGAGTGTGGTCAATAATAAAGTTCCATATATATATATATATATAGAGAGAGAGAGAGAGTAAGGGTTCTCTGTCATGGATTGGACCGTAGAGTGAAATGAGCAACCGAAATGACCTCATGCCATCATCTAATACAAAAAGATGTAAATCCAAACACGACGGATCTGAGTTATAACATAAACCAATCGTATACAAATGATTTCAGAAATATTACCATAAAACATGGACCGAGGACGGTCGTAAAACAAGAGAAGAATGAGTTGTATACACGTGATTTCATCGTATTAAAGGGTAGTTCTCTGAACATTACAACACAAGTAGAGTACAGACACATACC